TTTCAACTTTATCCAAAACATGGACTACATGAGACAAAAGATGAGCCGGCAATCCGTAAAACGCGGAACCGCTGTTAGTCAGAAATCCGTCAATGGAACATACGAAAACAAGCCTCCATTCTGGACCTCGCCCGGGAAAACAGAAATGTACCGTTCAAATACATGGGACTACCGCAGAAAAAAGCCATCCACGTTCTACTTGAGGGACAGGAACGAAGAACTCACGAGTGACCCAACAGTGAATTCGGAGGTTTGCAGAGAACACTATGCAGATTTATATTCAGCCCCAGTGTCCTTGTCACATCCACTCTTGTCAAGGCGTAGCCACGGACAGCATCGAACAATAGATGGATGACATTCGGCAACTCTTGCACAAGATCAGTCAATTTTACGCGTTGGGGCCTGACGAAATCCGTCCAAGTATCCTGAAAGAAACGTCGGCTATACCGAAAAATCATCTATACCTGGTGTTTCGTATATCGCTTGACGAAGACTGTCTTCCCACCGCTTGGAAGGAAGCGATTGCCACGCCAATCTACAAAACTGGCGACCGACTATTACCTGGGATCAACAGGTCTATAAGCCTCACTAGCGTGCCGTGCAAGGTGATGGAACGCAGTTTGAAGAAAAATATCTTATACTTTCAAAAATTCGATATCTTCAGCTCAACACGAATTTTCCCCAGACTGTTCTTGCGTAACAAATACGCTTGTGTTTATGGACGGCTTGGCCCAAGCCAAAGACGAGGGACAAATATCGCACGCGATATTTTTCGACTTCTCATAAGCATTTCATAGGGTCCCACACGTCCCGCCGCTCCACAAACTCCAGTTTTACGGGATTCAAAGGAAAATCTTGAACTGGATCAGGTCGTTCTTATCAGGCAGGTCATTCTCTAGTGCCGGTCTCCACTGGAATTCCTGAAGGCTCCGTTTTGGGACCACTGCAGTGTATTTCCTTCCCCCCGGTCAAACTCTACTGCTGTCTGCTACTGTTTCCTGCGTCTACCACATAAACTCGATGTGCATTTGTGATTCCTCATGAACCCCCAACCCTTGATTTTTCGAACTAATTTGGTCGACTATCTTTATGTGCGCTTTTTGACCATTTTACGTTGCTACGTGTTGTACCCAGGCGTGTGTCGCAAACCAGGGTCGATTTGCCAACTTCTCCTGGCTTTCTTTGAACTTACACTACTTTGTGAAACAGTTTAGATGCAAACCCCTATAATTTGAGTTTTATCCCTTTTGTTACGTATCCTATACATATAGTACCGCATCTTTTGATAAATCTTAGGAATCCACAATTTCTGGCTTGTGATCTTGAGCGTCACTCAAGTGGGCCCTTATAAGTATACGTCGAGTCTACTTATTGCGAGTGACTTGAAATCCTGGATTTCCAATGCCAGTGTCCTCCAAATGGATGTGGACGCTGCAAAGCAGTGGTCGCTGGACTAGCACCGTCCTCTGAATGGCGATAACCGCGTCCATGTGTCATTTGGAGGAGACCCCGCGAAGGCCTTCGTTATGCATGGTGAAAAGGGACCAGAAAACATCATAAGGATAGATGCCAAAAAGGATTTGGGCACCTGGGCCTCCTCAAACTTCTCCTCCTCACTGCACCATGAGAAATCGGCCGGAAAAGCATTCGCCATTTTACGGATGATCCGACGCACCTTCTCCCCTATTGCTCGCATGGACCTCCAAATACTCTATTGGGCTTGTCTTGTAACGTCCGAGACGCATGGGAAACCATACTCAAGCACGCCACGGCTTGGAAACTTGCCACAAACCGGAGTCATGTTCGTCATGCCTTGGGTTGTAGCCTGATGTCATCGCCACTTTCCTTGAACGCTAATAACCGGCAGTCGAAGACGCTTATAATGATATCCTATTCGCCATTATCTATCGCTCCAGTGTCACGCTGCCCAGTGAAGGAACGTGGGAACATGTGGGGCTGAATGAACACTGGGCCCGCCAAGCTTCCGGTGATAAACTGAAATTGACTGGCAAGGTTTACTGCTTCATTAACTTCAATGACTCGACAGCACAAGCCACCTGCTAGCTGACGTCAGCCCCAAATTTGATCTCATGGGGCTAGATTGGATCAAAAAGCTAAATCAATTCTTTTTGCATGTGCACGCACGCAGCACTTGGAGGTGCCCCGAACGAACTCATTTGCCGAAGGGTTGACTTGAGCACATCCTACAAAGTTATGCATTTGTATTCCCCAACAAGCTTGGACGGTGTACAAAAGCAGGGGATAAATTGTGCCTCCTCGCTGGTGCCAAGCCAGTCTTCAGGCCAAAACGTCAAGTACCGTATGCCTATCGTTGACCGGGAACCGGACCGAATTCAGAAGGCGACTGTTCTCCAACCGACAAACTACTGTGCCTGGGTCGTGCCTATCGTGTTGGTGAAGGCTAACGGGACGATCCGGTTGTGCGCAGATTTCTCCACCGGTCTCAACGCTGTGCTGGGTACCCATCAATACCTTCTGCCTCTTCCAGGCGATTTGTTCGCGAAACTGAATGGAGGTGAATGTTTTGCGAAGATTGACTTGGCCGATGAGTACCCCCAGGCTCAATTTGAGGAAGAATCCCAAGAACTTCTCACGATCCATACGCATCGAGGTCTGTTCCAGTACACTCTACTGCCCTTTGGTGTCAAAATAGCGCCAGCCATATTTCAACAGATTATGGACACGATGCTGATGGATGTCCCAGGCGTTGCCGCCTATTTGGACGACCTAATTGTCATGGGTTCCAATCCCCACGAACTGTGGCAGCGCTTTGATTACGTGCTTAGTCGTATTCAAGAATATGACTTCAAAGTGCGCCAAGAGAAATGCACCTTTTTATGCCGTCGATAAAGTACCTTGTGTTCATTATTGATGAAAATGGCCGCCGTCCAGACCCGGAGAACTTTGAAGTGATGAAATCGTATGCCAGCACCCACAGACGCGGCGTCCCTCAGGTCTTTCCTCGGTCTCGTAATTCACTACAGTTCGTTCCTGCCTGCCATGCATCGCCTTCGAGGCCCACTAAATCAGCTACTTACCAAGGACCACAAGTGAACATGGTCAGAAAAATGCCAATTCGCCTTTGACTCTGTCAAATCCATGCTCAGTTCCGATCTGCTACTCACACACTACGACCCATCGATGGAAATCGTTGTGGCGTCGAACGCCTCGAACTATGGCATTGACGCAGTGATTTCACACGCATTTCCAGATAGCACCCAGAAAGCCATCGCACATGCGGCCAGATCCCTGACTTCAGCCGAGCGCAACTACAGTCAGATAGAGGAGGAAGACTTGGCGATCGTGTTTGCCGTTAAGAAGTTTCATAAAATGCTCTACGGCCCTCAGTTCAATTTACTGACCGATCACAAGCCACTCCTTGCTGTGTTTGGCTCGAAGAAAGGAATCCCGGCACATACTGCCAACCGGCTCCAGAGATGGGCCACTCTGCTTCTGGGGTAAGACTTCAAGATAAAATACCGGTCCACCACCAGCCTGGGACAAACCGACGCACTGTCCCGACTCATTGATTCAAGCAGGCCAGAACCAGAAGATACAGTGGTTGTAACAATTGCCTTGGAACCAGAGGTTAACCATGTAGTATCCGAAGCGGTTCGCACCCTCCCAGTGACTGCCGACATGGTCCGCCAGGCTACCGATCAAGACCCTGTGCTGCAGCAAGTCATAAAGTACCATCGCAATCAGTGGCCGCGTACCTGCCAAAAAGACGAACTGAAGCCCTCCCACTAGACGACGGATGCCTTCTGTTTTCGGGACGTGTTGTAAACCCCAAGAAGTTACATCTGGGTGTCCTGAACCAGTTTCATTAATGAAACCCGGGAACAAACGGGATAAGGACCCCATGCTCGGAGTACGTCTACCGGCCTTCGATGGACTCCTAGATCGAGCAAGTCTCAAAATCGTGCCTGCGGTGTGCTGAAGCATCCAGGACACCCATGAAAACCTACTTACGGTCGTGGCCGCAGCCGATCGAACCCTGGACTCGTCTTCACATCGATTATGCAGTTCCAGTGGGCGGTTAACACTTTTTGGTTGTGGTCGATGCTTACAGCAAATGGCCGGAAGTTTCCCCAGTGAACAGTTCCACAACCGACACTACACTCATGGAACGCCGACGATTGTTCCGTCGCTTTGGAACACCAGAAACTATTGTATTGGACAACGGCAGTCAGTTCATGTCGTCGGCGTTCGCAACCTTTTCTCCGGAGTATGGCATAACACATGTCCGCTCGTCGTCGTTTGATCCACAGTCGAACGGCCAAGCGGAACGCTTTGTTGGCACCCTGAAGTGTGGTATTTAGAAGTCAAGAAAAAAGGAACCAACGGAAGATATTTTGCAAAGTTTCCTGCTGGTGTATCGAGTGACGCCAACCCCCAGCTCACCTGATGGAGCGTCCCCAGCAGAGGCACTGCTCCCAAGAAGGCTTCGAAACCGCATGACACTATCCAGCCACAAAAAAGGCAGACTAGTCACCGCAACGGAGGAACGGTTCAACCGGCATAACGAGGCCACTGCGTGCTGATTCAGCGAAGGCCAGAGAGTGTTGGTTTGTGACTACAGCGGCAGACACCCTACGTGAACCCCAGGACCCAATCTTCGCCCGAGCTTCAATGTGCTCTACAGATTCAAGTTGGCCAAACTAAGTGGATACGCCAGACGAACCAAACCCGGCCGACAGATACGCAGATCCTGTCCACGGAACCGAGTGATTTGAGTCTAGAAATGCTCCTGGACACTTTTGATTTCGGCACCATCCCATAAAATCAATCAATTGGTTCGTCGGAGGCCCAGCCTGAGCACGAATTACAACCACGACGCTTGACAGACAGGATCTGCAAGCCGGTGAGGCCGCTGCAATGGAATACTCCGGTTCGAAGTTTCGTCAACAAACTTCAAGGGGGAGATGTTAGGCGGAATTCCACGCGGATCACTCTTCACCACTCGCCCTCAGGTGCTGCTACGGCCGAGAAGTCCGTCCCATGCAAGATTGGCCAAGAATTCGAGACGCTTGCCAGTCCGGCATCAGGACGAGATCTGGACCCAACAGCCAATCATGACCTGGTGTTTCCCGAATGCCGGTTGCCAATGGCGCATCCAGAATTTCTAGAAAGTTATAGCCTCCTACGCTATATATATGAAGCGTTGTACAACTGTTCTTGATTTCGTTTTGGGCGTTAATATACCCTGTGCACCTATGGCGGTTGTTTGGACGTGAACGCTAGCTTGGGAGGCTCAGACCGAGAACTTAGTTGGGGAAAATACCGTTACTACACGCTTGCAACACGCCTGAACATACACGCTTGAACAAAGCCTAATACACTACAATAGGTTTTATCCGCAGCTTAGGAAAAGCACCACAATGGGGAAGTGCTCATGGGGCTAAACTTTGAACGCAGTAGGCTGCGACGCAACAGAGAAGGACAGATCTAAGTGTTGAAGGTCTATTGCATGACAATAATTTGTACATTGAGCAAAACAGAACATTACACCAGCTAGGTCTGGGGCGCACAAGCCATTTAGTGACAGTCACCCGCTTAAATTGAAAGCCGTCGCGTATGACAGGTTACCGTGGCCGAGCCTTAGAAGCACACTACAAATTCCAGTGAAACCATAGTTCTGAATGGAGACTTCAACATAAATTCTCAATGTCTGATGGTTTTTTCGGTCCAGGAAAATCTCTTCATGCCGCCGCAATTTTGGTGAAAGTTGCTTAAATGTACTCGAGGTCCACCATGGGCGCGGAATTCATATTTTAATGGTTGCCAATGGCTTCGCTTGATGACGACGCCCAGTATTTGCCCAATGAAATTGAATTTCCGGCAGCTATGATGTGTCCTTGATTGACCAAAACGGACAGGCAGTAGAACTCGGAATAGCAGTTTCAACTTTTGAGCACCATCCAGGCATCCGGAGGTCCCCGTGATGCTAGGAAACTACTTCACCAGAAGTCTTCCACCAGAAGTATGATTCCTCGTCGGACAGTGGGCTGCAAAAATATGAACGCAGATCAGGATGGGTTTTCAAGCCATCACGCAACAAGGTGCAATATTTCGGCAAAGCTTTTGCAGCCAGCAACATCGTGCGGCCAAGAGCCCCCTTGATGTCTCCGTGAGGATGGTGGGAAATTTCGTAGAAAATGTGGTTTCCTCTTTATTGGATTTGAAAATAACCTCAAGACTACATGAACGGTAATTACGCCTTCTTCGTCTGCGCAAACCCAGAATAGATCAGCCACTCTCGAGTTGCGTAGGAAAAAGTTTTCTAACTCTGCGGCAGGCGTTCCCCAACAAAGCTAATAAGTTCCTCGCAGCTAGTAAGGGTTTTGTTTTTTATGATGGTTAACACACACTATATGTTTCACGGCGCAGATTTTTTCTCCCCTAGTATACTGACCTCTTATTGTGGTATTAGAGAAATTGGTTTATGGGCAGAACTAACAAATAGCACCAAGAGGTGGCCTTTGCTTTTTGGATTTGAAACCTCAAGACTACATGAACGGTAATTACGCCTTCTTCGTCTGCGCAAACCCAGAATAGATCAGCCACTCTCGAGTTGCGTAGGAAAAAGTTTTCTAACTCTGCGGCAGGCGTTCCCCAACAAAGCTAATAAGTTCCTCGCAGCTAGTAAGGGTTTTGTTTTTTATGATGGTTAACACACACTATATGTTTCACGGCGCAGATTTTTTCTCCCCTAGTATACTGACCTCTTATTGTGGTATTAGAGAAATTGGTTTATGGGCAGAACTAACAAATAGCACCAAGAGGTGGCCTTTGCTTTCTGCGTTCTGGCACAAGTTCGACGGGTTAGGATGGTCCCTTGGACGCGTCTAACAATCGGTCGGGAAATATTAGGGATATGAACTGCGGCCAAGCCATGCCTTTGAGCAACAGCAAATCTGGTCGACGAAAAGGGGATGCTGAGTGAGCTACAAACAGCATCGGTCGAAACTTTCGCCCATGGGGAAAAACTCCGTCCCCCAAAACCAAAAGGCCCGAGCAAACCAA